TAAAACAAACCTCCACCATTATGGATGTGGAACCACTGTAGGACCTGTAAAATAAATAGAATAAAGGTAGAACCTTACACCCAAAAGTTGAAGCACAAGAATAGGAAAAATCTAGTTAAAATTTAAAGAAAAATTTAAAGAAAAATACTGTAACGTATATTAAAAATCAATCAAAAAGAAGGGCAGGGACTGAAGATCGGGAGCAGCACAATATATAACAAAGGAAGATGAAGGGTAGTGGAATAGTCGGGCTGTGTAAGGGATCAAAAAAAAAGAAAAAATGTTGATATGGTAGATAAATAATAATAAAATTGATAATAAGAAAGGGCTAAAAAATGGAGAGCATATTAAGGATATTATTAAAGTTAATGTAGTTTGGATAGAAATATTTAGTAAAATGTAGTCTATATCGAATTAAAAAATTTGAACATATATCCAATAGTGTATGTCTATTATATCCGCGTTAGTGATATAATGAAAGCAGTGATGTTGCTGCGCTGATAAAACCTTCTATAGTGGATTCTATCCGAAGAAACCGAACAAGTTGACTATATATAATATTAGTATGGGTCTGTGGATGAATTACTATTTAAATAGGAATACCTATGTACATAAAAATTGAAACTGTTTGTCTTGTTGTAAAGTGTAGTACGAAGTACACCTTGACTATCATAAGAAAAGGTAACATCTAAAAAATTAACTGTATTACCATGCCCAGTGATATTAATTTCAAGGTCATGTCCATATATTTCTGAAGCTTTTCTACTGAAATCATTATCTCCGAAAACAAGTAAATCATCTACATATCGACATAATAACAGGGGTGGATTTGTACTTATAGCAGCATATTTGTATTCTAACATTGCTAATGTAAGGTCAGCAATATCGGGCTAGCGTTTCCGCCCATAGGTACGCCCATTACTTGACGGAAAACCTTTCCAAAACATCGAACATAGGATTCGTTGACTATGGTGTAAACCATGTTACAAACTTCAGGTAAAGAATAAACAGTGCATCCAGTACAAGTAACGGAATAGGTAGTATAGAATATAGATTTATAGCCTATAGCTAGGCAGTCTTTGCGTGCATTTTTGAAACGAAGCTCACAGAGAAATTTAAGCGAACTGTATATGGTATCATGTGGCAAACTAGTAAAAAGGTTAGAAAAATCCGCCACAGTCATTGTATTAGGTCCTCTGACA